TGTTCCCTCTGCCAGAAATGCTCTTGCATCTGTAGTTCATCTCTTTCTTTCTTCACATGTTTTTCCTCAAAAAAAAAATTGCCTTTCAACAAGCCCTAAGCAGGCTACCCTATTCAAATACAATTTTCTCCCATCCTGCACTCCTGATCCCCCTTACTGCTGTTATTTATTTTTTATTGAGATATAATTGATTTACAGTGTTTCAGGTATACAGCAAAGTGATTCAGTTATATATATATACATATGTATACATATATATGAACATATATATTTCAGATTCTTTTCCATTATAGGTTATTACAAGATATTGAATATAGTTCCCTGTGCTATACAGTAGGTCCTTGTTGTTTATCTATTTTATATATTGTAGTGCATATCTAATCCCAAACTCCTAATTTATCCCTCCCCCGCCTTTATTATTTTTTCTTTTTTGCGGTACGCGGGCTTCTCACTGTTGTGGCCTCTCACTTTGCGGAGCACAGGCTATGTCTGAATTGCAAAAAGCAGTAGCTCTCTTGATATCTTTTGAACGGAATGTTGCTGACAACAGGCAAAAGTAGAATTCAAGAGGGAATCTTATGCTAGAGAAAGAAACATTGTTGCAATAATTCAATTCTGTCTTCTTTTTTTCTTTTTTTTTTTTTTGCGGTATGCGGGCCTCTCACTGTTGTGGCCTCTCCCGTAGCGGAGCACAGGCTCCGGACGCGCAGGCTCAGCGGCCATGGCTCATGGGCCCAGCCGCTCCGCGGCATGTGGGATCTTCCTGGACCGGGGCATGAACCCGTGTCCCCTGCATCAGCAGGCGGACTCTCAGCCACTGCGCCACCAGGGAAGCCCCCCGCCTTTACTTTTAATTTAATGCATACTTATCACCTCCCAATACACAAATATAATGTAATTTATTGTCTTGTTTATTGTCTGTCTCCCTCTGCTAGAATAAAACTCCACAGGGGCAGGAAGTTTTGAATCTTTTGTTCCCGGCTGTATCCCCACTACCTATAATAGTGCCTGGCACCCAGTAGGCACTCAATAAATATTTGCTGAATGAATAGCTCCTGTTCTTCTGAGCTTTATTTGTGGCAAGTTTTCACCAAGTCTAATATTTCAAGATTGCAGTTTGCAGGTTCATGTTTGGTTGAGAGCATTGGTTCTGTTTTCCCTTAACACATTTTAAAGTTCACGGTTTTAGCTGTTGTCAGTTTGCTCTGCAGTGATTATGTCTATCAGTAATAGTCATTGTGAATCCGGTAAGATATTTTGTTTTTATTTCCTGGGTAATCCAGGAGAAAAACTGTACGCAATCCCCTTAGACAGTCCAGAATTGTCTGGGATGGGCTTTGCTAAGCTGGGTTTTCAGTCAGCTTCTGGTCAACTTTGTGTAGTGTGTAAAATCTAAACTCCTTCCAACAAGGACCTGCTGTCTAGCACAGGAAACTGTATTCAGTATCTTGTCGTAACGTATGATGGAAAAGAATCTGAAAATATATATAACTGAATCACTTTGCTGTACACCTGAAACTAACACAACATTGTAAATCAACTATACTTCAAGTTTTTAAAAAAATCTAAACTCCTTCTAACCATGGCCCATGGGGCCCTACAGATCTGGCCCATGACCATCTCTATAACCTCGTCTCTAACCACTCTTTTGCTGGATGATTCCAGTGATTCTAGTAAGCACAGTATTCCAGCCACACTCGCTTTCTGGCAGAATTTATCTCATCTGTTGGTTTCCATGCTTGTTTATCCTCTGTCTCACCCACAGCCTTGAGGTAAAGTCCATGAGGACAGAGACTGTCTTAGTTTGGGTCCTTCCAGAAGCTGACCCTGAGACAAAGATTGAAGTCAGTAGTTTATCTAGGATGTGTTTCCAGGAAGCACCTGTCAGGCAGTGGGGAAGTGAGGAGGTGAGACAAAGAGGGGAGGGCAGCCGATGAAGAGTGTTATTAAACGACTTAGTGCTGTGGGCAACGGGACTTGTTCCCACTGTGGAGTTCTGGAGGCCAGTGGAGAACACACAGCTTGGGGATGTCACATCTGAGGGGCAAGGGGGCAGGGGTACTTATCTACCAGCTCTCGTCGGTCATTGGCTGAGGGCTACTGCCAGGAGGTGTTCATTTCCTGGCCCCTACAGCCTGCCAGGCCCAGAGGCAGAATGGCCTTATGCAGCTTGAGAGAAGTCCTCCAGCCAAGAGATGCAGACCCTGGCAGTTGGCAGTTGGCCAGTGCACACCGGAGCAGTGAGGGAGCTGACAGTGTCTGCCACAGGGACTGTGACTGTCTTGTTCACTGGGCCTTGCACATAGTACGTGCTCTATTAGACTGAAAGGTGAAGCTGGTTCATACCTGTTATTTTGCCAGAGCAAAGCTGGGCCCCATACATCAAGGTTCAAATATCCTTGGGGCCAAACAGTATGGTGAAAACATTGAGTGTAAGGTCTCTGACCACTCACACTGGCCTCCACTCCCACCCTGGGAAATTCCTGAGGACAGGGATCCTGGTATCTGTCATGCCTGGCACTGTCAGGGTTTGACACATAGTAGGCACTCAACTTCCACCCCTTCATCCCAATGTGGTCCTTAAAATGTCAGTCAGTCACCAGAATGGCTACAATGAAAAAGATGGGGAGTGCTGAGTGATGCTGAGGATTCACCACTGGGGAAGTGTAGATTGGAGAATTGGCATGATTTACAAAGCTGATCATATGTCTACTCCCATGATTTAGCAATTCCATTCTTAGGTATATGCCCAAGAGAAATGAGTGCATATATCCATCAAAAGATATATACAAGAATGTTCACAGAAGAATTATTCTTAATAGCCCCAAATAGAAAACTACCCAAATGCCCATCAACAGTGGAATAGATGAAGTGTGGTCTATTCATGGCAATGCAAGAGAATACAGCAGTGAGGATGGGCAAACTACTAGTTACATAACAACGTGGATCCATCTTGCAAACATCATGAGATTGAACGTTGTTAGAAGTCCAGAGAGTGATTACCCTTGGGGGAGGGGGGTGGACTTGAAGGGAGCTTCTGGCGTTTGTTTCACATTCTCTTTCTTGACCTGGGTGCTGGTCATATGGGTGTGTCGTTTGTAAAAAGTAAATGAGCTCTGTAAACTTACGGTGTGTACACTTTTCTGTATGTACATTTTAATTTAATGATTTAAGAAGAGGTGGCCAGTGTGGCTGGGGCCCATGAAGGAGAGGAAAGGTTGCTGTGAGAAAGGGGGCAAGGACATGAATTTTAGGATTTGGTGTAAGTGCAGCTTCTTGTTTGACCAGAATGGAGGTTTCTTGAGAGCTTGAGAGCTTGATGAGGAGGCGGGGTGGGGGGGGGCAGAGGGGGCGATCAGAAATGCTCTTCCTCAGGGGCTGTAAGCCTGAAGGGCATTGATGGTAGGGAATGGCACCTATACCAGAGGTAACAATACCAGTGTGTTGCAGCACATACTGTGCCAATCCCTGCTCTAAGTGAACAGATATACCCAAATACCTGCCCTCGTGGAGCTTACATCCTGGTGGGGGTTAGTGGGGGGACATATTCTCTGGGCCAAGGGTAGCTATGGCTGCAACAGGCTGAGGTTTATTATGGGGGTATTCCCCTCATATACTCAGGTACTTGGTGGCTGGGATAACACGCCCCTTTCACTTCCACAGTCCCCGTCGGCTGGAGAGTGGAGAGTGCTCGCTTTACACATTAGTACTCTCTGCTTTGGAGCTGCCCTCGAGTTGGGAGACTGGCTCCACAAGGAAGCATTCAGGGAGTGACACTGCTCACTTCCAGGAAGGTTCACCTGGATATCACTCCCACCTTAGCCTCATACAAGTGAACTAGGACTCCTCCTGACTCAGAAGCTAGGGTTAGGGGCATCACCTGTAGTGGTGGGTCCATCAGGCCAGATGTTCTTCGGTAGCCAGTGACTGGGGGCTCCTGCCCTCTCCGACACCCCAGGCAGGGACATGCACAGAGATGGCAGCAATGAGCACGTGATATGGGAATCTCATAGTGTGAGCTGTGGAAGGGGGCCACAGGGGAGAGGGCAGAGATGCCAGGGGCACGAAGGGGAGCCCAGATGCCCAGACTTAATGGGGATCTAGGAGAGACTCCCTGGAAAGAAACAAAGAGCCAGAGCAAGTGTCCAACTCCATCTGCCAGATCCAGAGAGACGGAGACAGAGAGAGCCTGAGAATGAGCCCCTGACGCAAGGACGTGGCCTATTCCCAGAGAAAAAGAATGGGGGATGGGGTGGGCAGTGGAGAGAGGCTTCCTGCTCGAAAGAGAGACACAGAAAGACAGAGAGAGAGATAAGGGGGCAGGGAGAGAAACAGACACACATACACACACACAGAGATGTGCATCTTGAGTTAGAGACCATCCAGATTGGGGCAGAGGGGAAGAGAGAGGCATCCACACTCACCAAGACACAAGACAGAGGCAGAAACCCCAGAGATGAGAGAAACAGAGAAGAAGGCAGGGAGCGAGACAAACACTCATCCTCAGCAATAGAAAAGCCCTGCTCTGACCCACCACCCTCAATCCCTGGTCACCCTGGCCCTTCTTCCAACATAGGCGGTCCCAGTGTGGTAGCTTTTTTCTAAATACAGCTGCCATCAATTTCTTCTCATATGCTACACCTTGATCCAGAGAAGGCCTGAGCCACCACATAAAAAGCCCAGGCTACTCTGCTGGAGAGAGAGGCCACATAGAAGACTCAAGTACCAAACATGGGAATACAGAAGTCATCTTGGATGTCCAGCCCCGTTGAGCCTCCAGATGATTCCAGCCCAAGCCACCCAAGACCCCAAGAAGGACCATCTAGTTGAGCCTGGTCAACCACAGGACCATGAAAGGTAATAGTAAATTGCCGTTTTAAGCCACTGAGTTTTAGGGTGTTTGTCACATGGCAACAGATAACCAGAATACCCAGAAAAGGCTTTTAAAGCCTGACATCCCACTCCCACATCCCCCTTACAACAAAAGCAACACCAGCCAGTCACAGTTTCAGTCCCTTTAATTAGGTGCTCTGAAGAGAGGGCAGAATGGCAGACAAGGGGTGGAGAAGGTGGTGCTTCTTAAGCCCCTTTCAGTAACCGGTCAGTCCTCATCCTCTGGCAGCTGGATCTTGCTGGGGTCGAAGCAGTTGGAGTCCATGATGGGTAGGCCATTGGCCTCTCGGTATTTTACAAGCCTCTCAGCTTCCCGGCGGGCCCACTCCTGCATCCTGGAGGCAGCAGCGTGAGGGTAGACGTGAGGGAGCTTCAATGGACACCAATCCCCATCTTAGCTCCCCAAGGACAGGATTTCTGGCAGTCTCCTTCAATCTCCACCCCTGCTTCTGCCCCGACCCGTCCCACTCTCTTTGACACCCCATGCACCTGTAGTCAGGCAGATAAGCCACAAAGGTGCTGCCAAGGACCAAGATGATGGAGAAGCCAAAGAAGAAGACGACCCGCATGTTCCAGAGGTCCACAGCAGGGTCCCTGTCATAACCGTGGGAGTCTGGGTTCTATGGCAAAGAGAAGAAGAGGTCAATGAGGGCTTCCCGCTGCTCCATAAAGCCTTATGCTGGCGCTGCATAACCTGGTCTCCAATTTCACCTTGGAGCAATCTCCCCTCCCTCCCTAAATTCCTCTCTGTTCTTAGGACTTGTCAAGCTCCTTCCCACCACAGGGCCTTTGCACCTGCTGTTCCCTCTGCCTGGAAAGCCTTTCCCCCAGATCTAGTCATGGCTGGATCTGTCTCCTCATTCAAGGTTTTGGCTTCACCATCACTCCCCTTAGGAGGCACTCCCTAGTCACCTTATCTATTAAGTTGAACTATAGAAAATTGCCATTTTTACAGGTCAAAAATGGCTCAACCTATTAACTCCCTACCCCCAAGTCACTCTCCATCCTCTTACCTTGCTTAACTTTCTAGCATTTACTAGTTTACCAAAGTAGCATATCCTCCAAATCCTCTGATCACATCATCTTATATTATTGATTACATACTCTTTATTACTGTTTGCTAACATTTTACATGTTTATTTTCAGTATTCTCCACTACCACGTAAGCTCTGTGAAAGCAGGGGCTTTATCTGATTTCCATACTGCTGAATCCCTAGCACCCTGAACTTAACCTGGCATTACAGCAGGCCCTCAATACATAGTTACAGAATGAATGAATAAATGAATAAGCATCCTATATATCACAGCCCCTCAACCAGAGATTAGTATTAATGAAGTACCTATTATATGCCAGGCCTTTTCACAAGCACAAACTGCACAATATCCCAGTGAAGTGGAAAGTGGCAAGAATAATTAACACCTTCTAATGGTGAGTACTTACTAAGTGCCACCTGCTGTTTTGAGCATTTTGATTCATTGAATTACACGAGGCAGGTGTACTGTAGTATTTTATTTTTTTAGAAGGTGTCCTAACACTTTCCCCATCTTACATAGAAATTGAGGCACCAAGGGGTTTAGCTACTTGCCCAAGGTCACTGCCTGTATTCCAACTCGGGCGTTCTGATTTCAGTCTCTGATATCGGTATAGCACAGCAGACCTGGCTCCACCACACATTCAGTTATGTGAGCTTGGACAAGTCACTTAACATCTTTATGCTTCAGCCTCCTCATCTGTAGAATGGGTACACTAATACTACCTAACTCAAAATAAGGTTGTTATGAGGATTGAGTTAATATATGTAAAGTGTTTCAAACACCTGAGCAAGCACTATATCAGTGTTTAGTATTACTGTTGTTATATTGCTTCAAACGTGTTTTGAGCACTGTCCACTTCAGGGTTGGTATCTGTCTGCAAAATAAGGCCAATCTCGCCTCTGGCCCTGAACCCAAAGGTGATCGGGGACAAAGGAGGAAAACAAGCTAGGCAAAATTCCCAAATCTTCGAGGATTCCGCCAGCTGCGCAATCTTCAGCCGACTAAGAACGTCCTCTACGGCGCCCATCCGCCGGTCCCCGATTGACCCTTCCGGCGTCCCGTATCCCCTCCCTCTCACCTTCTCGTAGAGGTTTTCGTCCTCGGGATCTGGGTCCTCCTGCCAGCGTAAAGTCGGTTCCGGCGGCCGCTTTCCCGCCACAGCGGACGGGGCGATCACAGCCCTGGAGGAGCTGGATTCCCAGCGAACACGGGCAGCCGGGAGCCCTCGCCTCGCCGCCACCGCCAAAAGGCGGCGGCCGCACAAACCTAACATCCCGGCCACCATGACAGACGTTCTGCAGTTTATCGGGGGCGGGGACGGAAATGTGACTGCGCAGCTGCAGCTGGTCCGAGCGCGAGAATTGTCGCTCCGCCCCTACCGCAATAGGTCCCGAGTCGAGATTTTGTTTTCAAAAGGGCGAGGCGTCCCCTTTCCCTCCCTCTGTCACGGCCTCACGGAAGCAACCATCTTCTTATCCTCTCAATCAGGCTATGGAATTTCTGACCGAAAGGCTGTGGAATTTCCTTGAAAATAAAGCGGTAACACTCGTGTGAATTCCGTTTCCAACCAATCGCACGGAGAGCTCCCTTGCCCTCTGGCGAGAAGGGCGGAGCTTCCGTTGCTCTTTCATCTTAGAAGGAAGCCAACCTTTTTTTTTTTTTTTTTTTTTTTTTGCGTTACGCGGCCCTCTCACTGTTGTGGCCTCTCCCGTTGCGGAGCACAGGCTCCGGACGCGCAGGTTCAGCGGCCATGACTCACGGGCCCAGCCGCTCCGCAGCATGTAGTATCTTTCCGGACCGGGGCACGAACCCGCGTCCCCTGCATCGGCAGGCGGACTCCCAACCACTGCACCATCAGGGAAGCCCGGAAGCCAACCTTTCTTAAAAGCGCCTCGCCGGATTGGCCAATTGCTGCTCCTTTTCTCGACTTGTGGGAGTTTGCATGGGGAGCGGGGAAATGGCGTACACTTGCCAATCAGAGCAAGCCGGGGCTGGCCGACGGCGGACGGCGACCAATAGACTGGGCAGGCCAGAGCGCGCTCCCTTAGTAGGTGGATGGTGGTTGAAGCGCCGGCTCCCTTCTTGTCGTCGCCATTTTGTGCTGGTGATCGCGGCCGGCTGGGAGTAGGCGGCAGTGGGTTTCCAGGGGAGGGTAGCGCGCCTCGCGCTTCTCCCCTCCCTCCCATCTCCGCCCTTCCCCCCCTCCTCCGCCCTTCCGCCCCTAGCCTCGGACTTGGTAGCTGCGCGGACCGGCTCCGGCTGAGCTGCGAGAGTTGGAGGAGGTGGCGGCGGGCCGAGGTGATGTCCGAGAGCTCTCCCTTGACAGCCCGGGCCGAGAAGGTGAGCGTCGACGCTGGTCGTGGGGGCGGAGGTAAGGGGCCGGGGTGGGGGAGGGGGTGCGTAGAGGAGGCGGGAGGGCGGACTGCGGGCGGCGGGTCTGGGCTTCGCGAAGAACCGATCGATGCTTGCACGGTCTGAGCCGGGGAGGGGGTGTCTTTTTGTTTTTTGTTTTTCTCCTTTAGAGAGCAGAGGCGCGTGCGCGATTGGGACACTGGATGGGTGCACGCGGGTTGGGGGAAGGGAGGGACGAATGGGAGTGGGCTACTGTGGCTCACTGTGCCTGCGACGCCGAACTTTATCCGTGGGAGGCGGATGTCTGCGACTTTGCTTTTTATTCATAGAAGTGTGCTCTCTGCAATTGTGTGTGACTTTGGTACTTACCTACCCATGGGGAAGTGTTTTGTGGCTCTGGTCCTTATTCTTGGGTGGGGGAGGAGGGAGAACGTCGGTATGACTAGGGTCTCTATCCTCGGAGTGTGTGTCTGTAACCCTGGTCCTTATCCATGGGGAGGGGTCCTTATCCAAAGAAAGTCTTCTTACGATTGGCCCTAATCCACTTACTGGGTGGGGACGGGGAGTGCAAGGAACGTGTGTAAGACTTATTTCCCCGTCTTTTTTTGGGGGGGGGGGCTTCGTATCTGTTACTCTGACGCTCATCCTGTGAAAGGGGGCCTCAGTGTGTGCTTATGGCCCGTGTTGATTGTGAATTCCTGTCTGTGATTTTGGCCCGTAGTTATTTGGGGCTCGAGTCTGTGACTTTGGTCCCTGTCTGTTTTGGATACCAGTGTATGACTCTGGCCCCTTTGCCAGATCTACTGAGGGTTTTGTCTCTGGCTCTCACCCACTGGGGCCCCTGGTTGTGATTCTCTTACCCATCTGGGAGCAGGTAACTCTGGTTCCCTGTGGCTTGAAGAGGAAGAGAAAATTGGTGTGAGTGTATACAAGGAGGAAAGGTGTGGTGGCAACCTAGTGTTGGGCAGGTGCTGTTAACGCCTGACTTTGCCTGATTCTTGTTTAGAGGGTGGGGCCTGAAGATTCTGGGATACTTCGTGGTGACCCCTGGCCCGGTCACATGGCTTTCAGGCCTTCCTTCGTTCTCACCGCAGCCCTGAGGGTTGCGGGAAGGGACTGCCCTTCCATCCCAGCAGAGTAACAGTGGTTCAAAACAGGCTCCAAAAGGGTTCCTTATTACCTCTGAATAACTTGGGCCCAGAGCCCTGGGGAGGGAGCCGCCTTGGGGGACCTGGCTGTGCATAAGAGACAGGGCTCAGGGCTGAGCCAGTTGCCCTGTGAGGGCCAAAACTGTGTTAGCCGGGAGCCTAGGGAGGCGGCAGCTGTCTCATTGCCAAGTTACCCTTCACCCCCTGAGCCTTTCGTGGTCTCCTGCTGTCTCATAGTGGGCAGCCAGCATCTTCTTGGGAGGATGAAATGGCACCTGAGGGCTCATGGAAGAAGCCTGGTGGGTGCCTGGGACTCCCGTTGTGAAGTCTCGCCTCCATGCCTAATGTGCCTGATCTCAGACAAGTCATCCAGCACTTAGAGCCCCCTGGGCAGGTAGCTCCGGGCTTGACTTGTCTACCAGTCTCAGGTGGCAAAGCCCTGATCACAGAATTGGTGGCACCACCGGGTCTCTGCAAGATGCTGTCTGCTGAAGGCCATGCTGTTTCTAGGGCGGCCGGCTCTAGCCTCACGTTTGTAGGGAAACGAAGCAGCAGGCCAAATAGGGACTGCCTTCCTGCTCTGGTCCACAGGAGCGCTAGGAGTTGGGAAACAGCGTCGCTGGGCTCAGGGACAGCAGAAAGCCTTCGCAATAAGCGTTTCTCAAGGAGGCCCTCTCTGCCCCAACTGCCGTGACCCCTTTCTTCCTTCTGCTCTCTCCAGAGTCCCTGCAGGAGGCATCACCCAGGCTGGCAGATCATGGTGGCAGCAGTGGGGGTGGCTGGGAAGTGAAACGGAGCCAGCGGCTGAGGAGGGGCCCCAGCAGCCCCCGCAGGCCCTATCAGGACATGGAGTATGAAAGACGGTGAGTTACCTGCTCCCACCTTTGCCAAGAAATCTAGGCTTGTCCCTGTGTGAGAGTTGATCCAGGAAAGTGCTAGGAGGGGGCCTTTGTGCAGAAAAAAACAACAACAAAAAAAACAGCACAGCAGATAATTGGTTTCTTTTCAGCAGACATTTACCTTGGCACTTGTGAGCCAGGACCTGTGCTAGGCTCTGGGAGTGCATTGGTGAATTGAGACAAATAAGATTGTAGCCTTCTCCTTACTTAGGGTCTCACAAGGGAGACCACACAGTTTACAGATCATTACAAAACAGCTTGATAGGTGCCATGTTTGGTTGCAGAGTGGGAAGGGATCCAGAGAAAGGGAGGAATGGAGACTGATGCCTAGGTTTCCAGTTTGGATGACCCAGATAGGTATATGGTGCCATTCACCAAGGTGTGGACAGCCACTGCAGGAGGAGAGGCAGAGGTGCATGACAGATGGGTAGTGGGTGGGTTGTAAGTGCTGTGGATTCTCAGGAGAGAGGTGTGGGCTGTAGCTTTGGGTTTGAGGGATGAAGAGGAGTGGTGCCTTCAGAGTCGGGAATTTGCCCAGAAAATGTATGGGGCAAGCCAGGTCAGATAGTATTACTCAGCACTGCATTTTTAAGATTTAGGATTCAGGGACAGGGTGGGCTGAAGTTGCTGTGATACTTATCTTGGAATGGGACACTCTTATACAGTTATTTTTAAACTCTGGTACGAACAAGAAACAGTTGGGACACTTGGTGAAATACAGAGATCCTGGGCCATACCCTTACCATACTGGTGGATCACCTTGCTTGATTCTAACGAAGGTGATTTATTCCTGACATTTAAAGATTGTATAGGAAAGTAGACCTAATTGTCCCAGAGAGCCTCTATTAAGAGTCAGTAGATTTATGAAAAGTCAGGGAGGAAATAATTTTTTTAATGTCTTACAAAGGGTTTCTGCTACCACCACCTTTTCAAAAATATAGAATTATAATATTTTGTTTTCTGAGAAGTGATGAGCCCAAACTTGAGGTGTGGTCATTCTCTAGTGTTATTCAGCCTTGACTTTATTTCAGAATGTCTTTTGAAAGGCATTCGATTTTGGATGGTATTCACTGGAAGAGCTCTGTGGCAGTTTCTGAGTTTGAGTAGGTAAGATACTTGCCTCAGACTTTATTACCAAATAAAGCCACTAGCTTTCTTTTGGCTTTTAAAGGACCTCAAGTGCAGAGGTTTGAGTTAATCATACTTTTCCAGTTCAAGGTACATTTCTGTCATAGGTTGGTACAAGACCTTCTCTTGCCATATTTATTTTTTCCTTTTTTATTTCCAATACCCATAGCTGTAGGCAGCTGCTCTGTCGTGTTTGAAACGTATCCTTCTAAAATATGTAGTGTTGTTTCGAGTGTGTGTGTTTTCAATTTACACAAATGGCAGAGTATTACAGTCTTCATTCTGTTTCCTGGACTTTGTATTACTCAGCCCTGCATTCTTAAGATCTGTCTGTATTGCCATGTGTATGTTAGTGCTTTGCTTCTAGTTGGTCCCAAAGACACCATGGGGTGTGCCTACTGCCTTTTACTTAATGATTCCCTCAAGGATGGATACCTGTTTTTAATTTTGGTGTGCTGAAATTCATCACTTTTTGTCCTATAACCTTTCCTTTCAGAATCTTCTCTATTCCTATCTCTGGATCACAAAGATTGTTCTCACTCTATAGTTTTACCTTTTGCATTCACATCTTTAAATCCATCTAGAGGCCACTTTTGAATATGTTATAATGTAAGTTCTGGTTTTATTTTCCTCCATATAGTGGGCAGTTTTCCCAGTACAGCCCCCCAGATATTCCATTCTTTCTTTATTGATTTGCAGTACCTCATCTCATTTTAAGTTTCCTCATGTACATGGATCTGTCTTGAGTGATCCGATTTGTTTCATTGGTCTATTTGTTATTCTGGTGTAGAACCCTACTGTTTTTCTTACTGTGGCCTTATAGAATATCTTAATAGGTCCTACTTTGCTCTTATTTTTCAAAGTTGATTTAGTCATTTTGGAGCTTTATATAAAAAACTTATCAAGTCCTTCAAAAAGTTCAAGAATTTTGATTGAGATTGCACTGAATTTATATATTAATTTGGGGAGAATTGTCAGCTTTGTAAGTAGTCATCTCATCCTCTGAAACAGGTCACAAAGATCTATAAAATTCGTTTAAAGGACATAAAAATCTGAATAAA